GGCACAGCCCCCTAGGTCCAACCCTTATGGATCTACAGGGGCTCAAAGTTGGATTTTCATGGTATGAGGATATTCTGCTTCTTACTCTGCTTTTCTGGGGGGACATAAGAAAAAATTTTTAAACCATGTTTTTTCATGTAAAATTTGATGTAGAATTCAAATCTGTACTCAGATGAGACATTAATAACCTCAAAACCCCTTGAAATAGAAAGTATGGTGTAATAGGACATAAATGTCAAAAAAAAAATATGTTCGTATACCTCAAATCAGCCCATATTGTAATATGCTCGTCGATACACCAAAATACAACTTCTGATAAAGTTTGGTAACTGAGTCTCTATTAGAGACAATTTGGTAGCTAGCGAAGAGGCAAAAAACATGGAAAATGAGGAAAAAACCATGTACGTACCCAAATAACATATCACCCCCCCCCACCCCCACCCTTTTTACGTACCCAAATAACATATCAAATTTTAGGGCAGATCCGAGAACCCTCCGCACAAAAGGTGTACATATATGAAAAAACTGCGCCGGGAAATGTTTTTGGGGCTCCTAGGAACATGTAACCACGTAGGAACCATTGAAATTTCAATAGTGCTTATTTTTATAGCTACTTTTGTGATTAAGAGGACAAAAAATCATGTTTTCTCGTAAATACGGCTAAATACTCATTTTCTAAGTCGCTGAAAAAGTATCAAAACTCATCTAAAAAACATAACTGGCTAGTCTGTTCGATAGGAAATTTTCTCAGCTTTTTAATGGTGGTATCAGATTTTCCGACCAGTCGCATATTCATCGAGAAAATCGCCATTAAACATGCCAAGCTAAATATCTCGAAAAACTCGGTACGGAAAAAGTGATCTTTGAGGTTTAATTTCGATTTTTCTTCGTAAAAATGAAATTTATCGAAAAATCCGACTACACCATGAGAAAGCCAGAGAAATTTCTTGTCGAAAGCATATCTTCATTTATTTTTTCAGTGGAATTACGAGCTAGTTTTGATTGTAGCGATCCGAAAACCTCGCGACCCCGCTGAATCAGCTCGGAAACAGAAAACAGCGAACAAAGTAAAAGAAATGCCCATGTATAACATGGTAATTTGACTCAAAAAATAAATGAAGATATGCTTTCGATAGGAAATTTCTCTGGCTTTCTCATGGTGTAGTCGGATTTTTCGATAAATTTCATTTTCGCGAAGAAAAATCCTCTCGATAGCTTCTCGCACAGGTGAAAAAAGCAACGATTTTTAAGCCAAGCGCCACAAGTCGTTTCCGCGCGCGAGCTCGAAGCAGTCCTTGGCCCGGACTCGTTTTGCCGCCTGAAAAACCACAATGGAAAAGGAGCAAACCACAAAATATACTTAAACCATTGAGGATTATGAGGTAACCCACAGATATAACTTATTGAAGTTATTCTTAATTGATTGCCAAAGAGTATAATATTGAAGTTCATAAATTACAATGTATTCTTGAAATTCTTTTTGAAGTTTCTGGAAAATTATTGAAAAATGAATCATTGTCTAACATAATAATTATAAACTAAAAATATAAAATGATTTTTATCAATAGATATCTGTACCTGTTTTAGATGTTCTCTGTATCTATCACCATATCTATTACCGCCCATTCTTTTTGTACTAATAAAGTACTGTAATGTTGAATGGAAACAGTCCTCGTGTCCCTTTTTCAACTGATCTCTAGGAGCATAAGACTGGCCATTTTCAAAGCGCTCTCTCATGAGATTCTTATATAGTTTCAATGATCTTTCTATTTCAATCAAGTTATTAGCTCGTACAGTAGCCTATAAATAATTGAAGTTTCTTATGTTGTTTCTTTTTTTGAATAATGTTTAGTCTTACCTCAAACAGATTCTGTACAGAAGGAGAAGTTTGAAAATTGCTTGTGTAAGTTCTAAAATACTGAAGTAGCTCCCCAGCTGTAATCGCTGCCCCATTATATTCTTTAATAACAAGCTTGTCCTGCGCAAACAACATGCTAAAAAGTTGATTGAGATGCTTTTTGTAGACATCACGTAATAATCCAGTCTGACCATTGGATTCATATATTTGTGAACCAGGATGTGGCATTAGAAAACATGAAATATCCAAGATTTCCCTCATGTATTCTTTCAAACTTGGAATTGCATCTTGAAGTTCAATTTTTAAAAAATTATTTCCTCCAATTATACCAAAGTCAAACTCTTGCG